ATAAAGATATGACTTTAAATGATATTTATCTTCATATTCTCAATATATTCAAATTAAGAGGTTATTTTACAAAAATAAATCTTGATTATTTAATAAATCATTTTGTTTTGCTTTATGAATCAAAAATAGATACTGACCATGAAACATTATTATATGATTTTCAATTGCAACCATTGGATGTTAATCAATATGGAACATTTTTTGAGTATATTCAGAATAATGGTTTGAATTGTTCAAGTACAATTATATATGTTTGCATTGATGAAGGTTTGCATTTCATTTGATTTTGTCTATTTATCTTTTTATTTTAAAGCTACTAATAATGATATGACAAGAAAAACTATGATGGAAAGTGAAAAAAAATTTACAACGACACCTTCATCAATCGTAAAAGAAATGTAATCACATCTTTGAATAACATCGTTTTTCTTTAAGATATTTTATACATATTAGAACATCTCTACAAACAAGGACAGATTTATTCACAACATCAATCGAACATGAACATGTCAATGAAAATAAACAAGATATTTATTCAGATCAAACTAATAAGTAAAAGATTGTTTTTTTTTTTTGAAACCAAAAAATTATATTTTTTCTAGTTTGTTAAATGGTAATAATGCATCGATTAATTATCTTTTTCTTTTTATCATCTAATTTGATTTTTAGAACATTCATTTATAAATACGATTAATTCTATTATGAAAAGCACTGAAGAATTAATGAGTCAAAATAGTTATAATGAAATTTTGACTAAATTATTTGAGAATATATGTATTATTCATGGATATTCACATTTAACAATTCCTGCAATAATACAATTAATTAAACAATCAAAAAGAGATATTCAATCAATTAAACAATCTGATATTATATTACATTTGAATTGTATTAATATTATTTCTGTTAGTTGTGAATTTTTAATTAAATTTTTCACACAAGAAAAAGATAAATTTGATCATATTCCAATTTATTCAATGATTCATCAATCATTTACTGAATTTTATCGAAAATTAAAGGTATTTTAATTTTTAACAATAACATAATAATAGAATATGTTTCATTGAACTAGTATCACAAGATTCTTAATTATTAGTATTCCATTATGAAAAAATAATGATAAATCAATCCTTTATCTTTTAAAAATAAATGAATTAACAATTATTCTTCCTCGAATGAAATTGAGATAAAAATGTTTAAGGATAATGAAATTCACTCTGAACAACAGTTTTATTATTGAATGAATCTTTTTTTTTTTTGTCAGAGTGCAAATTTTTCTATAAAACTCGACATATCTAAAAAGAATTCGAAATATTCATAGATTTACTTCATTTTTTCATGCTGATTAAAAATATGATATTAAGTTTAATTGAAATTCTATTTTTCTAACTAAAATCGATTAAATGTTAATGATAAATCTGCAATTTGTTTTGTGCGTTCGAGACTTTATTTTTGTCGAAACAAATTTGGTTCAATTCTAAAAAGTGTTCTTCAAAGTGATTTCGATTATTCTCGAATACTGTTAATTCTATCTCGTTCGAAAAACAATAATTATTTATTCTTTTATCTTTATTTGCTAAAGATAAAGGATCATCCTCAGCGGTGAGCTAGCATCTTCAATCGAGCTGTGACAGTGACCACCTACTAATATATATTGTAGAATCTTGCGAATTAGAACTAAATCCCGTTTCTTCTGTCCCCTAGCAAAAGTGAAATTATTCTCAAAATTTTCCTATACAGAACAGTCGAGATCGAGATTTTAGGACAAAAAAATTTCGTACACAGAGGTCGGAATAAGGACTTGAAAAAAAAACGTTGTCCTGAACCTGAACTTTATTAATCTTTATCTGCAACATGTTCTACAATTACAAATTACATTTCTTTTATTGCGAATAAATAATTTTTATATGGAAAACGAGAGAAAACAGGTAAAAAATTATTTATAAATATTTGAGAATTCGTTTTGTGTAACCTTTTTCACCTCATTTGATAACTTAATTTTTGTATATGGTGCTGCTCAATATAGACAATCGTTTGAAATATCACTATTGGTTCTTTCTCTGTCTGTTTCGCGGCTCGAATGATCTATTTATTTTGGTTTTTTTACATATTGCGTTAAATAAAGAAAAAATTATTATTTTTAACCACGTCTAAACGACTGTTTACTCACACAACCATATGTTTATATTTTTTTTGGATTCCGGAACAGACAAGAGTTTTCAAAACAAACAAAAACAAGTTAGAATGAGTCTTCTGAATTGACACGCTTATGAAAATTTAAGAATGTGACAGAAGAAAAGTTTGTCTCGGTGGACTCTACTAGATGGTGATCCACCAATGGTTATAGGAAAGTGAATTTTATATTTAACTGTATCACTTATTATATTTTTACGTTTGGTAATTGATAGCAATTGCCAACCTGTGGCCCGCCGATGATCACTCTCTATCAAAAATGTGAAACTGCTTGAACTAATTTAATTATTATCTAAAATTTAAGATTGATGATAGTTGACGAGCTTATCACTTGCTGATCGCACATACATTTATTCCTTCTCTTTGGATACGTACAACGAAATTTAGATATTTTATTATTATTTAATATACACTTATGAAACATATTTATCTGTTTTACAACGATTTTCCAGAGATTTTTTTTGTTTAGCTTTTATGTGTTTACTGTTATGTACTTGTTGACGAGTACAATAAACTTACTAAAAGTTCACCTATTAAATCAATTGAATATGGAAGAACAGAATCATCTGATTCGAATTTTCAATCTTTATTTGAACACTATCATGAAACAAATACACAAGCATTTGGTAAAAATAGTCAAAAAACTATTGAATTATTTCAGCGAGTAAATAAAATTTAAACATAAATTTTATTTCTATAATAATAATAATTATTTTTTCCTTGTAGTTCTTTATTATTTCAAGAGATTTATTACATTTTATGAATGAACCACGATTATTAAAATTTTATACTATTATTCAATCTATAATTGTTGGTATAGAATCCGTACTACCAACTATTAATATGGATAATTCTACATCTGTAACTAATGCAATAGACGTGCTAACATCGCTTAAAGTTCAATATTCAAAAATATTCCATCCGAATCATTTTACATCACCCATCTATCGATTGAATCAATCTACTAAACAAGCATTTAGAAAGACAAGCAGTTCAGTAGCTGATATAATTGGTCATTGTAAGAATTTTCTAATTCCACCAGTTAAAAATCAAACAAAAGCATCAACATCTTTATCAACAGATAATAAAAAAAAACGGAAAAATAAAAATTCAATTCAATCACTTAAACGAAAATCAGAAGTTTTACATATTGATAATTATGATCAAAGTGAAATTCAATCATATTCGTCATTTAACAATGAAAATTTATCAAAATATTTTCAAAATAGAAATAAACGAAGATTTAAGAAATCGAACTAAATTCAGATACATTTATCTATAAAGACCTGTTTAGTTTTGTTTTCTTGTTTGCATTTAAATTATAAATAAGCAAAACCAAAAAAGAAACAAATTGTATTTTTCTAAGAGAATCCTATAGTGACAAATGTTCTTGAAGATCCTTAAATTTTCGAAATATTTCAAATTTTTCCTATTTCACATATGTAGAGACCTCAATTAAAATAATTTTCATAGAAACATGTATATATTTCGAACAAAATTTCTTCGAGATAGAGAACATTCAACAGAAAGAAAATTGATTTCTTATTATTATATTAAGAAAAACTAATCAATTCTCTAATTAGTTTATCCTGTTAATTTTAATTAAAATAATTCCATAATATAATTTATCGACGATCGAAAATTAAGAAGAATAAAAGAAAATAAATATGTTCGAATTGAAATTATTAAACTTAAATAATTCAATATGATGAATACATCTATATAATAAATTGTATTTTGTATTTGTCAATTATTTGTTCATAATAAAAAATTCTTGATAAACTCTTTCATTGTACGATTTATTGAAAATTCTCTATTTCACCAAGCAATAAATAGTAATAACTAATTGACCTTAATTTGTTCAGTACACTTCTATTCAATCTATGAATTAAACAGATTTGTCAAGTAAAAAGTCATTTTTTTTACAAATATCATCTGAACTTTAACAGGAAATTATTGTCAATTTAGCTTGTTGCTTTGATTTGTTCGACTATGATATTAATACAGTTTTATTTTATATAATATTTCAGTATTAATAATAGTCGATAGAAGAAATTTAGAGACCTATTTTATTTTATTTTTCTTAGATAAAAATCATAATGAATCAAGACTTTTAATATAAATTATACCACTAATTATGGCTTTGAGTGTGAGCACATGTATTCGTCTTCGCTATAATCATATTGTATCTATTGACTAGTGCATGTGAGTGTGACTCTTTTGTTTTTCATCCGTACCTACAATCAACTTAACAAATTTTGATGTATTTATCAAGATTTATCTAATCGCAAATTTTCAAAAACTTCAGGAAGGAAATGCTTCTTAAATGTTAGTCGATTATGACTAATTTATCTTTGTTAGTTTATTTCTTTTTATTTTCATATGAATGATAATTTCGATATTCAATAAGACTTGTGTATTCCTTCTTCAAAAGTAATAAGTATCACTGGAAAAAAAAGAGTATCGAATTACAATAAAATCATAGTAAAAGCATCTCAGCTTTTCATTATTTAACTTGAGTTTTTTTCAAATCTTTATAATTAAAATAAAATATGAATTACACATGAAAAACGTATTCCATAGCTGGGAAAGTGAGTATCAATATTATTTGACACTTGCTTTGTTCTTTCTAAAATGACATAGATTTGTCTCTTCAATTTAGTTTCATTTTCAAATTAAAGCAAAAACTTATAGCTTACATTCATAATTACACTAAAATCAAGCAAATCATTCGAGTAGAGACTGAGATATGCTAGTTCTTTATCTATATAATCATTTTTGAACTATTCTATAGTCAAAAAAAAAGAGGTAACTAATAGAATTTGAATCGTTTGTTTCGACTCTTCTCTATCCTAGGTGAATTTCTTTCAAAATCATTTCAATAGATTTCTGTGAATGTCACTGAATCAGGTCAAATATTCTCATGTCAATGAAAAATATTATAATTATCAACAAAGAGTACAAAGTTAATATATTACACATAACATCATTTTAGAGAATGTCTTTTGAAAATGGCAAAGAGATTTTTCTTAATGCAAATTAATATAAATAAAAATCGTTTATTGTGCCAGAAGACAATGTCAATCAATTATTTTAAATGTAATTTCATTTCTTCAACATAATCTCGACTCTCAATCAATCTTATGATTGCCTACGATCAATTTACTGACACAAAGTCACTAATCATATTAAAACGCATTCGATATTCATTGCAATTAGAATTTCAGTTAGTTAACAGATTTCGATCGATTGTAACTCATCTGTCATATAGTTTTAATTGTTTTTTTTTACTATAGTTACATGTAAATCAACAAAATCAGACAATAGCATTGAAGAAAAAAGATCATTCATCTGCTTGATATATTTTTTATCTAAAAAATTAGTTAAAAGAACTTTTTTTTATTGAAAACATAGGTGAAGTTAGCATCAGATTCGCGTAAACCCTGACAAGAGTCGCCCCGGAACATGTTCCAATTGTGCCAGGGTGCGTTCAAAGTACAACTCGAAAAGCGCTATCGTATGGTGTAGTTCGATTTTCCATAGCTTAAACTGTGTCTCCAAAAACTCAAAACTAAAGCAAAGATCCTGGGTTTTCTACAGTAAAACCTGCCAAGATTCGTCCAGGAACATGTTCCAAGTGTTCCACATATGTGAGAAGTATAACTCGATGAACTCGATCGAATAATGTATTCAGATTTTCCATAACTAAAAGTATGTATCAAAAAGGATCCAGAAGACGTGAAACCCACAAATCACACTGGGATTGATATAGTAAATTCAGCCGAAATTCATCCAACAGCATTTTCCAAGTGTGCCGTTTGTTTTCTAAGTGCAGCTTGAAGAGCTCGATCGAATGATGCATTTAAAGTTTTCAATGTTCGAACTGTGCCGCAGAGAATTCAAAAATACTAGTGCATGACACTAAGAATCCAGGATTCTCTCTGGTCAAACCTGCCAAGATTCATTGAAGAGCGTGTTCTAAGTACAATGCAATGAGTTCTGTTGAGTGGTACAATTAGGTTTTCTACATCATGGGGAGTGAGTTGGATCAGATGCTATGCTCATAGCCATAACCACACTCAAGTTCAAGATACTTGGTTATGCACACGAAACTTGACACCAACAGAAAACGTAGGCGAACCGATATTGACGTAGACTATTTTTTATGTTTCTTCCTTGCTTCACTCTTAAGTTTATTGACTATCTTTCCCTATGTCGGACCTTCAGTATCCTCGATGCTCTACTCTGTATTTTAGAAAAGTTCGCACAGAAATAGGATGACTATAGTTTCTTCAACGATTTCTCAGTTTTTTTTATATTCAAAAATAAGATTAAGACACGTACTGCATAAAAAAAACTTTGCTTAGCGTTTTTCTCAAAATCAATTTTTTTGACCATACTGTTTACGCGGGAAGGATTTCTTAATAACGACTCAATATAGAAGTGATCATTTTTTTTTATTGTATAGCAGGCAGTTAGGGCTAGATCCTCACGATCTCCGATTTTTAAATTTCTCTTTTACTAAAATAAAAAACTTAGATATTTCATTTTTATTAGGCTCCGAATTTGAACATTTTTCGAAAAAGTATTTTTCAAAATCAAACAAAGAGAAATTTAAAAATCCGAGACCGTGAGAATCTAGCCCTAAGGTCACTCTACAAGTTAAATACCACGCCGACATGATTAGCCAATATTCTTATATCGAAAACCTTGCCCGCGTGGAGGGTACTTTTGACCAATAAATTGACTGTAACTCATTCGTTTCTCAGAGATTTGGGAAGATATTTTAACCACAGTCTCCCTTAGCCAAGACTAACATTCTCTGAAATTTTCGTTGAAATCGGATGAGAAATGGCAAAGTTGGTTTCTGAGCTCCCCATCCCCCCTCAAAGAGAAGTGGATTACCAAAAATAATATTTTCTATTTGTAAACGTTACCAAAACATACAAGAGCGAAACAGCTGATTTGAGAACAGCAGAATCATCTGAAATTAGTTGGAATTCATACGAATCATTCGAAATTATTCAGAATCATTATGGAATCACTCTGATTCGTTTTTGATATTGTCTGTTTCTCTCCCTTATTATCACACCAAAACATGCGATTGTTCGGGCTATATGAAAGAGGATCACTTAGCAAGATATGCATATGTGCCATTTAACTAGGAACCAGGCAGACTGGGTATATATTTAACTAATACATTATTCATTAAATCATCGGTAATCTACAGGAAACCATAGCTTCTGGAGGTCTATACTATTGGGATAGCCAAAAATCCTTAACGTCTATTCTATAGAGTTACCCAAAAGTCCTCAATGCTATTAAATAGGGCTACCAATCGTGTCGACGACTATTACATATGACATCCATAAGTTCTAAAAGTCTCTTGTATAGAGTAACCCAGAGATCGTCAAGGGCTATCCTATTGGAATATTCATAAATCGTCACCATCTATCTGGTAGGGATATTCATAGGTCCTCGAAGTCTATTTTATAGGGGTAGCCATTGATGACCTACGCTTACCTCCATCTAATAGAACTTCCAGATTTATGGGTACTCCTATAGTGTATGCATAAAGGACCTATGCGAATCCCATATTATAGCATTTGAGAAGCTTTGGGTAGGCATATATA